CTGATGTAATATTTTCCCTATATTTATTACAAAAACACAAAATAAATAAAAATAAGTATTTATATTTGTGTATAAGCTGTTTAGATTCTAAAAAAGCCTGTGTTTTTAGGGTCATTAATGACGTTTGTGTACTCAGACCAGTAATATTTGGGGTCACATGTTTTTGCCATGGATATTTTGTGGGTCAGAAGACAAAAAGTTTGGGAACCAATGCTTTAGTGGACTGGTGCCCACCACAGCATACTTGACTGCAGATAAAGTCAGAAACTGACCCTGTGGCCTTTGAGCAGGAACAACAGAGATCTGAGCTGCTCTACGTTCATTGGTGTGTTCTGAAGGCAGTAAACGAGGTGCCCGGAGACTTCCWGCCGTAAACCATCTTCAGCCTCCTGGTCCCTGAGGAGCAACACAAAAACATCATCATGTGTACAACAGGTTTTTGTTCTAACAGGAGAAAACTGGTTTTTACCTCGGCCCCAGAGAGAGAAGCAGCAGGTCTGCTGTGAGGTGCAGCTGGTTGAGAACAGCCACTTCCTCCATCAGCGGCCAGAGCCGAGCCCTGTGGCCGAGCTGAAGCAGCTCCCCTCGGGTCGTAGGGACTTCAGCTGCTTCTTCGTCCTCCTCAGACATGGAGCGGACCTCCAGGAGACCCTGAAACGTCATGWGAGACTGCTGCGCTTCCACTTTACACAGCAGCTTCTCCAGAACCCCTGAAAGCAGGACAGCTTCATTTACTGTGAGATTTTACACACCGAGTCAACGAGCTGCAGTTTGAGCTCATGTCCAAACAAGTGTTAGAATATGAGGTTTTAAAAACAGCTGGGTTTTTCTGAAACTTTTAAGAAAGTTAACAAAAATGCCCAACACTGTAAAGCAGCTCAACAAGTTGTCTCACCGGTGCTCTGTGGATCTGTCTGGTTGTTTGCTAACAGAACCAGAGCCCATGCTTCAAGCAGGCRTTCCTTCATGTCCAGGTTAAACGTAACCTTCTGAAGTCGGAGCAGAGCTGACGAGCTAACCTGCCCCACGTGACTCACATCAAGTGCCTTGCTCATGAGTCTCAGGCGAGAGGCGCAGTCAGACACCAACTCCACCTGAGGAAGGTTAGTCATGAACGTCACTTCAAAAGCTTTGAAAAAAATAACTTGTTTAAAACTGAGATTCTATATTTTGCACATAAAGAATGTTTTTGTTCTTTAAAAAACAGACAGGTAAATATTAGATAAATATATTTAAAAGCATTGATATATATTACTGGATTGGGCGTGGCTAGCGCGTTGCTAGCTACATGGACGTGGACACACTGGAGCTCTATTATTGAGGAGCCTCAACACAATGAATGGAGGTCAATGGACTGTGAGGCATCTTCCTGATGAAAAACTCTTATAACTTCCTTATT